TGATTTATTTACTACTTTATTAAGATTCAGAAGGCAACAGTTACTTGGAGAAATAAAAATCGCACCCTGTCATCACTGCTGCACGAAGTACTACGATACAAAATCTATCGTCGAAAATTATCACAGCTGATGCATTTTAAATGAAATTACAAATGAGGCAATGCTCAAAGAATCTGAACGGCTATAAAACAGAAAAGGAATATTGTCGGTGACTTGAGGAATTTATCTTCGTCGTTGCAAAGATGACTATCGCATACGGTTAGAAAAAATGGGTGTGCTTTACTTAATAGAAAGCATTTTTCGGAGTATGCATCGGGAACTGGTAAATAGGTTGGCTGTGGTCATGGAGAGGCTCAATGCCCAACTTATGGTACTTTTTGGAAAAAAGCTGGTAAAACCTTTTCCATATAGTCAAGGATTTCTCTAGGCCATGAAGTTCTCGGCAATCACATTAAACAATCTATCCAGTAAAAAAAGTCAAAAACCCATATAATCCGGAAAGAAGCGGACTATTTGGTTCCCGGAATGTGGCTATTTCCGCCTTTCCAAACGTGAAACATGGATATTGATTACTTTCTCAGATGACAAATGAAGATTAGGAGAACAATTATATTCCTTTATCCTAGAATGGAAAAATCCCAGACCCATCAAATAAACGGTAACGATTCAATTCTTATGAGCAGAGAAACGTCTTAAAAACTAAGCGATTCCTGAAATTTGGTTGAGAACCTTGATTTCATTCTAAACGGCAACAGAACACAACGATCCTCAATTTGGAATGTCATAGGACTAAATGCTATCGCCAAAAAAAGTATTGGAGAAAATTCTTCAGGTGCAAAAAAACATGGTACTTAAATGTAATTGTTGAATGTTGATAGGAGTGTGATTGAATCGATAACAAAGTGATAATGTTCCCGTTCGCTCATATTCGCACGCCCAAACCGTCTCTGGGTTAAATGAAATAAAAAATATCACACTGAAACTCAATTTTACCCTCTTACTTTATACTTGCCTAAATTGCTTTACTTTTCCTAAGTGATAAATAGCTGATAATCGATAACCATCGATAAGGCTGATGTCAAGTAATGATTAACTGGGAATAACGAAGGAAAGATGAAAAGAAGGAAGAAGAATCTCATTTTAAAAATACAATGGTATTTGAATCAAACTTGACGAAGTATAACCTCTTAAAACATGGAAACACTTTTTCTGTCGAGAAAAGAGACCAAATGAGCGCTGAACAGCCTTACGATAAGAACCTAATCCGTCTGCCATTATCACATCTCATCAAGCTTTTTCGATCACACGGATCAATTCGGTCATAGCGATGACTGCGGCCATTTCAAAAATTTAGGTATTATTTGCTACTTTTTGCTAGTCAACTTAATAAATCAATGAAAGTGGTGAATTGATTTTATATAAATAAACTGATGACGACGAAATAAACCTAAAAGAGGAAAGAGAAAGGGCAAACTGGTTCACTAGTCATAATAACATCGGTCAGTTCCGCTTTAAATCAACCACGAAAGGGCTACTGTGTTCGGTTACTATACACCTCTTTTTTTTGTTGGTATGGCTCAGGTTTATGCAGTATATGGATAACAATATTTCTATCATTCGGTTAGTATCTATATTCGTGTCAGTTCGGCTGCTACTTAAGCATTTTTGGCGCTACTCCATGAATGACACCGAATGCGGTTCCAGAAGATTCCCCGAAATCCAAGGATAACCGTGCTACGGTATCTCCAGCTCTTCTTTGAAGGCACTCACCAGCCTTGGTAGACCGGATGGAGCTCTTTCCTAACAATTCTGCTCCCAATATGACGGTACTGGAAGAATGGAACGCTAGTTGGACTAAAGCGGACTCGAACCAGTGACAATGGGCTCCATAGCGCGGCTTGTCTAACCACTGCGTTTCGCTATTAAACGGATAATGATAATGGTAATAATAACGATAATAATAATAATAATAATAGTGACAATAAACGACTGGATAAAGAGTACTTAAGGATAAATGAATTTACATCAACTGCCACGACCGACTTTCTATTAACCTCGGCATTGATCAAGTGATTTTCTTGGTATTTTTGTTGAGCAAACGCGAGGTGTTACTATTCTTTGTTCACGATTAAGCTGACGTTTCGGCGGATTTCGCCTTCTTCAGAGCCTGGAAAGGTCAAGTTGATAGCAATCCACTCGGCCAGACGCCTCCATAACCAAACACTACGTGACGTACTACGTGACATACTTAGTGGAAACCTCATAGAAAGCGGTGAGTGTGCAAAGCTGTGTTCAAAGTGATTGAAATCTTGGTTTGGAGTTTCTTTGTTTGGTTATGGAGGCAGCTGGCCGAGTGGATTGCTATCAACTTGACCTTTCCAGGCTCTGAATTTACATCAGTTTCGTTTTGTAGTTGTTGCATTGTTTACATCACAATTAAATCCTCCAACATCATAACACGATTTAGCGTTTGGTTGACAGATTGAAAAGCAAAAATGTGATAAGATTTTAGTGTTACCCAAACTTGAGTTTGTGGAGAATCGCCGTCTGCAGAAAGATTTTATTGTTCAACCCCTGAACCAAACTGTCGGCTACTTTTATTTTCATTGGTTTCATTAGTCTTGACACAGCTGCCTCCCTTGTTCACAGCTTCTTCTCTTATTCTATTCTTTTTTATTAAAATTTCTTTTCTTCCAAAACTATAGGAAGTATAAAATAATATCCAATAAGAGCTTCTAACGCTTCAAATCATTTGATAAAATGATAACATCTTCTAGACAGATAAATAAAACATAGAGAATTTCCAAGCTAAAAAACATTACACAGAAAATTTTTGCGTCACCGCCAAAATTTGAATATTCAGTTGCACTTAGTCGCTTTCGGCGATTCTACTACTTTTAAACAAATTGGTTAAACTCGTGCCACCAATAAGTCAAAATTATTCAAATGCAAAGTTAAACTTCCTCATTACTTACTTTATTATCGAAAATTGCCAGGAACGCGGTCCTACAAATACAATAAATTTTGCGAAAAAAACTCCATATAGATAACGAATGGAATTCAAAGGTGACCGTTTATCTAAACCATCAAAAGAAGGGAAACGTTCAAAGAAATGAAGAGCAATAACGATAACGATGTGCTAAACTGATGAAAGTTCTTCAAATCTTGGTAATGTGAGCCGCATACGGCTTATCTGTACCTTAGGCTTAGAGGAAGTCTGTAAAACGAACATTTTCACTAATAGGTTGCAAACTTAACAAATTGGATAACCCAATCCTTTCAACGGTTTATCGCCTCATCGTGGACAGGAGGTGTTCATCGGTGTCACGCCGCGATTTGGAGCGAGGGGATTCATCACCCTACCAGGGTCTCCCAAGCGGAGGAGTTCGGCGTTTCCATCATGAAGCCGAGCTAAGAGTAGACCAAGTAAGGCGGCTTGTGGTGACTACCTGGGGCACATTTTGGCCACGCTTGGCTTGAGACTCCAGTGAACCACAATGGCTAGACCAGCAAAACTCCAAAAAAGAAATGGAGATTATGCTGGGGCCCGCACAACCAGTGAGGACGGGCCAACAAACTATCAAAGTAAAGTAAAGATAACCCAATGAAAATTTTTAAAAAAGTATTCGTCATGCTGAAGAACACCATGAAAACGTGTCCCATCTGGAAATTATTATTGATCGGCACCATACGGTAATTTCCATCAGTGGTTTGTTTAGTTTAAACACTTACCTTCATAAAAGCGTTAGAATTTTGTTAACCGTTAAACAATATATGTGGAAAAATATTAACAGCAAACATTGCAGTGTAATGAGAATAAAACCAGATACGAAAATGTTATTGGCAAAATATGACAGTTTGCACTCGTGCATGACCTATTTATATTTGGCAATGAAAGAATAAGTCCACCTAGAATACTCCACTTAAAAAGATAAAAGAAAGGATATCTAAAAATGCTGAATTACATTTTCCCCACACAGGTTGATTTTCCGCCTTCATGTCATCATTCTGTTGTATGAATAATTACAGGAGTACTAGTTACATGCACGGAATCCAAGCAAATATTCATACTGGAATTTCATGCTGGATTATTTGGACGCTTAGGATTCAAATTGTAAATTGCATCAGGTTTTGCAGTCTCCAAAAAGATTTTCATTAACAAAAAAGCTATAGCAAAATAAAAAATACTGAACTAATGTGTCAAATATGCTAATAAATCTAGTATATCTAATGTAATATGATATGACTCCTAATATGCCAATATATTCGAAAGCTTCGTATGCTAGCAGAGCTTCAGACCCTGGAAATTCTCTCATTTCTTTCCTCTCTTAAAATGTTTTTTTAAATGAATCCATCAATACTGAAAGAAAGCAAGCCAATGATTGAAAACTGCATCGATACATAGCAAAACTATGTTAGGACACGACTGAGTTCTATGGGATTCCAATTGTTACGAATTCGACCATAATAGTTATGTGACTAGTTTTTCTAGTTGTACTGCCATCATAATTCATTTATGAGTTGTTTGGTTTGAGTACAATTGATGGATACTGAAAAATAAAAATCAATATCAGCTCATCGCTATAAAGCCATTTTGTGAAAGAAATGCAATTATACATGGTCAAATTGGAGCGTGTAGCACAATGGTTAGAGGTGCCTCCATCGTTCATTGGTCGACAAACTGCTACCAAACTACTTCGGAAAGTTAAGGCCATGCCCCAAGCTACTATTTAAGGCAAACAAGTATTGAACACTTCTATGATGTAACGAATGGAGTCGAATGCATACGTCTAAGGGTCTAAGGGTGCATATGGGTGTTTTACAGTTCAGTCCGATTTCCCTCTGAGTATTACAGCTATAAAATATCGAAAAAAGCGATCGCAATATTTCTGCTCTCGTTTCTTTTGGTAAGAAGAGATCGACATCGATTATAATCTTTAAGCTTCTATGATGAAACATTCTTTATTTAAATGACCTTGTCAAACATTACAAAGGTTTTTTCATTGGTAAACTAGTACCAATTCAACTTCGACACTGAGAAGTTGTGTGACATAGAGAGGAATGACGAACTGACCAAGGTCGCAGCCGATGGCGCTGATGTGACATGGGAGTGTATCGCCATTAACTTGTTGATCATCAATGAATTTCGTCTCGAAAACGGTTCCTTCATTGTCTACGATAAATGTCTTCTTTTACAATAATAGATTATAAAAAGCAAGAGAGAGAAGAAAACAAAAAGCGAGCAAAGTAAACTAAAAAGTAGGTAAAGTTCATCACGTTTATCTGGTTAGTGAAGCATTTTATTGAGATACTCTAGCAAGCCGGCCAGGAAGAACGAATTCTTTAGTGATTACAGAAACACCGCTAAGAGAAAGGCGAAACGAAGGACCAGCAAGGTGTGGCTGTGAACACGTTAGCCTCCGGGAAGGGTAATAGCGTGTTCACAGTCCGCAGCCACATGCGGTCCGGAGTTTTGCAAATATCTCAGCATAATTGTGGTTAAATCTCACATCATACCCTGCCATGAAAAAAAAAATAGGCACTAAATGAAAAGTGGTTGTATTGTGCTTTAGTACCCATTTGAGTTAGACAGGTGGATCACAGGTAATACGTTAACAATGGCAGTGATGTGTATAAAACTAAATTCAGTTATTGCTCCAGTAAAAGTAAAAAAATCATTCAGCAGCGCCGTAATGACGTCATCGGAACGAAAATATGGGCACTTCCCTTTAGCCTATTTCTCAGCTGTTACAAAAATGTAAAGACTTTTCTTTAGAAGAAAAGTGTCACAACCGAACTAGATGGTTTGAAATGATAGCAAAAAGCGAAGCTGGAAATGTCGATGTCGCAAGCAGATATAATCTAACGATAGTCATCGGAACGTCTCCTTCTACATAAGTTTAAGGGTTCACACCTAGCCTACTTAAATAACTGAAATCAGTTATGCTTTTTAGTAGGTAGTACTGTCACACTTAAATACTCCAACGAATAGCATCGAGTAGAATCGAATGGAATCTAACAGTATTGTTTTTTTCTACCGTTACAGATTCAACTCCTGAAACGGATTGGATATCTGCCCAACTCCAAGCCATTCGCATTGAAATGGCCGATATTCGAAGACAAAAAACATACAAAAACAAGTCAAATGCCGAAAATGAAATATCTAGGAGGAACGGGAAACAACCAGTTCTAATTTTCCTTTTGCCTGACTTCATCAATTCCTATAAAGGCGTTAAGGTCTGAAAAATTTGGAAAGAATGGAGAATAAGATGTCTTCCTTTCCTAAGAAAAAACTGTTAAAGATTGAACTCATTTTCATCTCAAGATAAGAGCCTTAACTTTCCACTTCCGCTTAAATCTCTATCTATGTGTTAATAGAAAGAAAGAACCTCAAGAAAAGGGTGACTGTATAATTCTCATTCTTCTGAGAATTAATCGTGATTTCCTTGCTCAGAAATGATTTTGTCGCAAGTTTCATCGATACGGGTAAAACGCTGGCTTCTCAGTTAAATCCAATAAAGCAAACCACTTTTCTACGACGCATGTCAATAAAAGGATAAAGGATAAACTGTCCCGCGTTGATCATTTCATTAGAAATGCGCCGTGCATTCCACTCCGTTTGCAGCAACGTAGAAGTGGTTGGGTCTAAATTTTGTCTATGCAATCCCCTGGGGTGACCTAGCGATATCAAGCCAGTGTTTTCATCCCCCCAGACAAGACCAGTACCACTTTGTCAAGATCGGATCTATGAGAGGCTTAATTAGCCCGAAGCTAAATATCGAACCAATTACCACATATGTATTGCAAGGTACCTTTAACCACTGCTATACGTACTGCTATCCTGCAATAATGTGTACTATTATAGCCGTTAATTTCGTCATTCATGGACGAAAAATGTTTAGCATTTTATTGGATTATGATAACTAGAAGTTGACGTCTCCCAAACAGACCTGTCGATGGCCCGTTAGTCTAAAACATTGTACTAGGAGGCTATAGGTCTAATCGTAAATGTCATGGGAAGAATACCATCTCATTTATCTACAAAATTCTCAATGAAATAAGGATTGTGAATGAAACAATAAATGTTGAAAAAACTAAATGAATGGAAATCACTGAGTAACCTTTGGATTTTGTAGATTTTCGTTGACGGAACCTCACGAATAGTGTAGCCTGGTTGAGCTTCTTCATATTCCTCCTGTTCTTCCTCGTCTTGCTGCCAATAATCGAAGCTCATCATAAGTTCTAAAATATCGTTTGGTAAAGTGGACTGAAAAAAATTTTGATTTTAGGCGAAAGAAAAACTCTAAACGATATCGATAAAAGTGGCGGAATAAGAAGTTGATACAACTGATAATCGTATTCAAGCCCTGAAGAGAAGAAAGCTTTTAAGAGAACGAAATTTTTTCCGGCAAGAAAAGAAGTGTAGAAAAACCTAATACAAAGTGCATTTGTGGAAAACTTTACTGTTAATGGTATAAAAGAAAGTAAGGCTTCATGCTAAATTTTCTTTAATAATCATTACACGACCGGTCTATTCCTGGACGATTCCACGAAGTCTGTGGTTCGTTTAAGGAACTGAGGTATTGCGTAATGGAGTGGCCGTTGGATTTCACAAAGTATCTCAGCGATTCACAACTGAATTCTGGATTCAACGTAAAACATAGGAGGCAAACTAATGATAAAGTGATAGCATAAAGTGATAAGAGCTGAGTCGTTACAAATAGAGAGATGGATAAACCGATCAAACACTGGACAACAACAAAAGCAAAGGTGATGGTGGAAAAGGTTGACATGCGGGCGTCATGCGATAGAGTGGTGTGGGTGACAGGCGCCTGGTCGAATTCGATGGATGCACGAGGATTTTGGCGTCTCGGTAGGATTATGGAGTCTCGGAACTCATTCATATGCTAGCATCGTACCAGATTTAAGGTACTATTGAACAGATAACTAACTAGAAAAGCGGCGACGCAAACACGAAACCACTCAAATGGTAACAACTGCATCACATTATAGCATTGTTGTTGAACTTTGTCGATAAGACTTGCTACGGCTCTGTTATTCTAGTAAATTTGTGATGATTTATGGCTTGAGCAAAAGCCCTATAAGTTGGTTACTTATGGACTTTCAGCTTTAAATCATTCAAATGTTTCGTCGTGGTGGTCTGGAAATCCGTCTTATCTCATCGTTTTGTTCATCTACATCTAAACGCAATGACTTTCCTCAAGCTTCAAAATATTGGTTTTCATTTTAAAGCTTTCAGTATTTCTCAAAATGTCCTCTTTGAGTAAATCCATTTAAATTTCCTTTTCACTTACTTTTATAAGGACCAATACTTATAAGTTACCAGTTTGCTAGCAAAGTGGTTGAATAAAATGAAGAGAATTGCGAGATTTCTTACAGCAAGTAAGAAAAAATGGTTCTGTAAGTTTAATTATGTCGCATTTTACGATAAGCTCCCAGATAATGACCGATATTAATGATGTCGGACGCTTTATTGAATGATTTCAACCTGACCAGGGCTAGTTCACGACAGTCGGAAATCCTATAGATAAGGAATATATTCATATGAGAAGTGAATGGATTTCATATGGAACACCTTGGAAATATCTAAAAAAAGTCAAAGGATTCTAATTTAATTCCTCGGATTTTTACACAAGTTCCGTTTAATTCCAAAATTTTTCTAACAATGAAGCAAAATTCGCAACTCTCGGCTACAACCGACAAGTGCATTGGGCGTCACTGAAATTCTAAGCTTCTTAGTCATACATTAGTGGGAAGAAAAAAGCGATTTGAGTCATGAATGGATGTACAATCCCAATTTAGCCCTTCTAATTTTTATACATGTTTCCTTGAATCCCGAAATTCCTCTAACATTGAAACAAAATTCAAAACTATCAACTACAACCGACGGGGGTAGGGGGCTTCACTGAAATTCTAAGCTTCTGAGTCATACATAAGTGGGAAGAAAAAAATTATTTGAGTCATGAATGGATGTATAAGCAATAACGAAAAAATATGACAAAGACGAGAAGCTTAATAGGGACACGTATAATACTAAATGTTGTCAACAACAAATCATGTCCTACTCAAATTAATATTGATAAAGAATTCCAAAGAGAGGCTTAGTATTGTTTTGATAAATTGACTTTTCAGGTCAAATAAATCTGTTTGAGGCTAGATGGACTGAAAGAAACCGGACCTTTTAAGCAGAGCATTTTCCTCTTGTAACAGTTTCGCATATCATTTGCGTCCACAATGAACAAAGAACAAAAAGGTGTATAGATAGGTGGAAACAAAGAGATAGATAGATTGATAGATAGACAGATAGATGGATAGATAGACAGACAGATAGATAGATAGTAGATAGATAAAGGAGTGATAAAAATGACAATAATGATTCAATAAAAAAGTAAGCGCGCATAACAAGATGTGAAATATTTCACGCAATCAGTATTCTCCTTTTGCCTCGATACACATCTTCTTCTGTACTACACATAACTTGTTCGTCAAGGCGTTAAAGTGTACACATTTTTTTAAAGTTTCCTACGGTTTTCTAGCGAAGATGATGAAGCGTCCCAAACCTGTTTAACTTCCCATGCAACAAAATTTCCGTTCATAACAAGCCTGAAGTGAGAAAAAACAATAACAACAACAACAACAATAACTGAACGGAAATCACTAGCACGCAAGTGATACGATCATTTGCTGAGTAGTTTTGCTGCCTTTCAAGTGTTTTCATACGAAAAGAAAACGACGAGATGACGGTCTGAAATGCGTGTGAGCGATTTGTTGATAAACTCCATGCACTTCACGATTTTTGCTGACAGTTGTGAATCGGCATTGTTGTGTACTATCAAATGGGTTGGTTGGCATGACATTCGTCGCAACAGCGAATGAGAATGAAACTGGTTGTTGTGTGGTCTAGAGGTATGAGAAGCCGATTATCATCAACAGCATTTCATTCTTCTGAACAAATCAAATAGCACAATAACCCCGAAAAGGAAAGGAAAACAATTTTTCGATTTGGTTATTGAAGTTGAAGGGTCAAAAACTCCTAAATGATCACGCCGACGAAGATCGAATTGTCGTTAGCCTCAGGATTGATCAAATGGTTCACTATATTTTTGACGAGAAAAAGCCAGGTGTTACTTTATTCTTTATACGGTAAAGATGACGTTTCGACGGATTTCGCCTTGTTCAGAGCCTAGAAGGGTCAAGTTGACTGTAGTCTACCTAGCCAAGCGCCTCCATAGCCAAACAGAGAAAATACTAAACCAAGGTTTCGATCGCACTGTAAATAAAATACCTTATTCGCACACTCATAAGAATCAAGAATGTGGCAACGCCAAGAGGTGCGTCTTGACTGATTCAGAATCACCAAAGATGAAAAGTGAATTGAAGCTAGAAATAGAGCTAAATCCAAGTCCTTCAGTGGAAAATAAATTACTATCCCAATCCAATTTAATACGCTATTTTACGTGCAACTTTTCTTTTACTTCGGTTCGTGTTTTGTAATTCTCACCGGCTTTCTTATAACATCCAGAACCATATTAAGTTGTAACGTGGATTATATTCAAATCACAAGGATGAAAAAAACTATAGTTTTGCTAAAAAATTTTTAAAATGGTTTTTAGGCATAGTTTAGTAATCTAAGTGTTAGTCAGCGACCTCCTTACAACTACTCACTGACATGATTCCTCTTCTAAAAGCCCTTGTTTGCAAACCAGTTCGCCAGAAAGTTCTGGAATCATTGCACGTTTTTTAATAGTTTTATTTCCGTTCAAAGCTTTCTGATGGTATAAAACGTTCTAAAATGGGGCTTAAAAAAGTCATTTTCACGAGATCTTATTTGCTGATGAACCTGTTGAAGCAGATCGTGATCACCAACAGCGGCTCATTGAAGCCAAGACGCGCTATTAAGTATTACGTACTTCACAGCAACTTCACTTTCAATTCACCCAGTACTGGTGAGTACTGCTGATCTTGATTGATACTGACTTGTCCATGCAATCTATGCCATCGAATATTTTTTCCCTTATCTTGAAAAGAATCTCTATCGTCATGAAATGTCACAGAACCCTTTACGCTTCTATAACGCTGACTGTAAAAAAAGAAAATTTCACAAGTTTTTCCATTCATAATTGATTTGAACTTTTTTCCTTGTCTCAAGCGATAACACTAAAGATAACTGCGTTAGTTCTTCTCACTATACCGCTAATTCTTTACAGCTAGTAAAATTTTTATGTGGCATTTTTATTGTGTAATTTAACACACAAGATTTATGAGCATCTCAGTGACGCGATATGGCCAGTCGAAAATTTTGGTCAGAAAGAAGAACGAACTTTAGAAAACGTGAGTAATTCTGAATAGTTCTTAAATTCAGAACAAAGTAAGCTCATTATGTATATGGACCAAGAACATCTAAAACTAGTCTTTATTAATCGTACAGAAATAAAACTAACGAGAAAAATGTCTTCAAATAAAAAGGAAAGGGAACGCGAACGCTTTGGGAAAAAATTGCAACCGGGCTTTCTATTTTTTTCCATGAACAGACTTCGCCTTCTCTATATTTTCTGTTTCTTTCTTCTTAGATAAATACATAACAAAACTTTTCTGGATATGTATTCTAAAAAAGGAATAGGATATGACAATTTCGACTTTTTTGTAAAAAAATAAGCAGGAACCCAGTGGTTAGAGATGCCAAGCAATGCAGGCACTACCACTGGTTGGACCACATACCGTACGAACCCAACCATCAATACTTGGCAAAACAGTACCAAATTTGTCTTGGATTAAGCTCCCTCTGATCCATAAAGACTACCGTCTGCACGGAACGCTATAATGGAGTTATCCCAAGATTACAGGAGCGGCTAGCACATTGGCAGTATGCCGGCCACAACAAGCATGGTGCTGGTTCGACCACACTGCGGGTTCACCAAGACTCTCATCTTTCCGAGGTCGGCAAGTTGGTACCGAACAGGTCCGAGAAAAGACCACTCGCCGCAATCCAAGTAAGAATGATCTATCTCGGCTATCTCAAGACTCCAGGAAGAATTGCCTCGACCAGCATTCGAAGACATTCATGATGAAAAGAAAACTCTTATGCAGCGGTCGAAGCCACACATAAAACTTGGAAGACCTTAGTGGATGATAGACATGAGGAAACAAATCCAATGCGAAAAGTGCCGTAATCTGCATGGTAAATGTGAAAAACGGGTTGCGTAAAAAAGCCCAGAATTGCACAGATAACCAACTAGAACAGAATTCTACGATATCTGTGAAGAAGACAAATTCTCCAGCAGTACAGTATATCTGAAAACTTTCTTGGACGGCAGATGGGGAAAAAGGAAACGGATAAGAGAAGTACTGGGATCCATACATTATGTGTGGTCAGCTCACATAAATAAGTAGGAAAATGCAAGAGGAAAAAATATGAATGAACGCAAGAAAGCAAGAAAATATAAGTGAACGAAGAAGCGAATGAAACGAGTGAGTTCATGAGAACTGGCAGTACTATGATGTGGTGACAAAAACATTAGCGACAGCAACAATAACAACAAACAACGGTTACCTGCTGTCATCGCTTACAATAGCAACTGAAAGCTCCATATCAGAAAAAATGCTAACACAGCTGCAGGAATTGTTAGCATATCTTCTAAAAAAGTGAATAAAAATCATCTTATCGTTTTGTGTCGTCAATAACCGTTTTTAAACTTTTCTGTTGCTTGGAGTTTATATGAAAAGAAATTAAATAACCATATAAATTTTCTACGGAGATGTCTGCCACACATCACAATTGTTGTTGCAGTTGAAGTGACTAACCATAGCACTGATATCACTGAAATTCTCTTAAAAACCGATAAAATACTGAGAAGTTCTTAAATTATGTGCGCGCGACTGCAAAATACTTTGATGACATTGATAAGAATGTAATTAGTCATTTTTGTATTAGCCGCAAGGTGCTCTTACGTGTCGAACCACGATTCGCAGGTAGGGCTTAAGCCGTACATCATAACTAGAGTCAGCCATTCTGTGAAGGAATTCGACATTTTCACCTATAAGCACAGCTAAGGTCATGCTTACGTGGTAGGAGAACACGGCGAGCCACCAGTGGCTTCCCTATCGCAGATGACAGTAAGGACTTTATTGAACAGTTCCCAACATCAACTTTCTATTTCTTTCTATTTCTATAAGGACTTCATACCAAAACAGTGATTTTATTTGCGCCGCTCAAAAGAATGTAGAGAACGTAGAGCATCATCGAAGACTACTAGAATGCAACAAGAAAGGATGGATATGATTTCAACGAATGGTTGACATTCCTTTATATTAAATACACGTACTGCAGTTGGAATGAGGAATGAACTACATGAACAAAGAGCTGGGATTCGCTCATCCACGCGATATTTGGAGAAGGCTCATAAAAATACACCTGCAGAAAATGTCCGAGAGTATTCTTCAGAGAAGGATGCTATAGACATTTCATTGTTATTTACGGATAACACTGGCGTCATGTGGGGATCAGAATTAATACCGGAAGTTAATGGTGTCAACGCAATCGCTAGTGGCAGTTCAAAGACGTCAGCGATCCACGTGGAACTTCAAGAAACAATCAACCGCGTGCCGATAGGAGTGTCACTGACGATGCCATCAGTCAGTTCGTTTGATCTGGTAGTGATAACAGGCTCAAAAGATAACGTCAAGTGGAGCCGAACCAAAAGTGAACGACAGAGAACTGAATTGCTTTCTATACAGTGAAAAAATCAACAATAGCTTAACTACAGAGAAAATTATAACCTGAATGAGTACCTTGCCTTAAACTCAACTGTTAAAACTAATCATGAATAAGCCGAACTTAGTGAAACTCTTTCAAAGCGTTGAAATTGCATAAAACAGCAGTAGGTCGACGGACAGGCTTCACGGTTGCCAGTTTAGGTTTCATGAATTCCGGTTATGGAAGTCGAACTTCAATGATTATGCCTGCTAAACCTAACCTTAAAGTCAGAGAGTTTAAAAGTGTTCCAATGAGCACAAAGGACTTCCGTGAGAACAGTGACAAGAACTATCACATCCGCTATCGTAATAAATATTGAACAGCTTATCAACCAGTGCAAAAAAACGATGAGCGAGTCACTCTGCTGCAAAAGTTTTCTGTTATCTACAGCGAACAATTCCCAAGTGCCAAATAGGGAAAACTTCTGAGCCATGGAGAGGGGGAAATTGTAGGAGACGTCAAAACGCCGTGGTCCAAATACACCGAAAACTTCTAGATATCAAGCACATGTCGCATTCACTTCAACTTCTACCGTTCTATAGAAGTTACAACGAAAGTTCCTCCGATGATTTTCTTCTGGATAGTAAAAGAAAGGCATAACTTCACAAGCGCACGTTTTGCAAGCCACCGAAGAATACGCACCAAAATAGATGACGAAATTTTAGAGTGGAAACCACAGTAATTTGAAAAGATTAGCGATGAGATAATGGGAGATAATGTGCTTCTCGACACCAAGTTCCACTTCTCATTGATTTTGTAAGTGCAAATGAAAACATGGTGAAGTGAGCGCGTAGTACAATGACAGTGATCCCACTCATTATGGGGAAAGTTCAAACCATCGAGGCGCTGGTTAGGATCTACTCCAAGCCTACCAAGCCATTCATCCTCAGAGCTTGGGAGAATGGTTCCAGACTAGTCTAGGACAAAGTGATTCGCTCTAATCTACAAGGAAACGTACCAGAACAGCTATCTGAGGATTCCAGAGAGAATCGATTCGACTGGTATTCAACGACATTTCTGGCGCAGCAAAAAAAAATCCCTATAGAGTAGGCAAAGTTAGACAAAAGTCAGAGGATGGATAATGGGTACGAGGATGGCAGAGAGTGGTCGGATCCCCATAGTGTAAAACATGTGATGTCGGGTCATTAAAAGAAAATAGGTGAAAACACTAACAGATTACGGACAAATCCAATGGAATGGAGGAGATAAATTGAGCAAAGGATGACCAATATTCTCAATGATCACAGTCGTATATTGAAATCTTGCAGCAGTAAGACTTAAGTGATCAAGAGCTTCTTCAGGACGAATAAAAGGATCACGAAAAACCGGTTACTGAATTATTATACTTACTTGATACTTGAACAGCCCGTCCTCACTAGTGTGGGCCCCAGCACAATCACCATTCTTCGGAGATTTGCTGGTTAAGCCATTGTGGTTCCCTGGAATCCCGAGGACAGCCTGGCCAAAGTGTGAACCAGGTCGTTAACACGACAGACAATTGCAGCTCTTATGGATCAGAGTGAGATTTACCACTGTGCTACTTTGGTACCAAGACGATGGTGGAACCTGGTATTGGCTTACTCCTAGCCAGGCCTCCAGGTGGAAACGCTGGACTCCTTCTCAGTTTGGAATACCCTACCGAGGAACGAATCCCCCTGTTGTACATCGCAGTCCGACACCCAGGAACACCTCCCAGCCACGATGAGGCGGTAAACCGTTGGGAGGACTTATAATGATTATTAGCCGAAATATCATAGCACCTTATATCTTAACCGAGATGATAGAAATGTCAAATTGGCAAACTTCAAATTCATTGTGTACTCAGTTTCAGTATATTGAAAATTCGATTCATAAAATTTATTGCAACCTTCACTAACGTTTCCTAGGTGAATTGCCGACGACAAGCAGCGATCATGTTTTTCTTAGTTCACTATGAAAGACGACTTTAAGAAAATGAGCGAAACCATGGACTTCGCAGTGCCGAGGTAGTTTACCACAAACAGCATTGTAGTTGTGGTGCCAATTATCTGAGGCATTAATCCATGACCACCTCCGTATGCAGATGGTCGGATTGGTCTCAACAATTATGAATGGATTACACGTTAAATGATCCAGCGTGATCGCGATGTGGGACTTTAATCATGGAATTTACAATACCGAAATCTAGCTATACACACTATCTTCACCTTCGTTCTCCCTCTCTCTCGTCTGTGTATGTTGTGTGTGTGTGTGTGTGTATGTGCATATACATATGTGTGTATGTGTGTATCTGTGTTCCTTTGCTTGCCAGTATGCATACAAATATTTGTGTATATATTGTATGCGTAAACGTTTGTATGAGCTACGTATTGGTGCAGTGGAAATATGTGTACCGCTCTATGTGCGTCTCTGGATGTGTGTGTATGTGAATGTACGTATAAATATGTGCGTGTTATGGACCTCAAACACGAATATTTTCTTGGCTATGCGAGCTCTAGTGGTGAGACATACGTCGTGGTTGTTCGAACAAATTCTAATGTCATTCAAAATGCTTAGTGATGCGTATCTAACAGATGTGAAAAAAGTATGTTGGTAAAAAAGGTGGAGCCAGTAACAGGGAAGAAAAACTCATTCTAAAAAATACAACAACAATAAAAACAACAACATGATTCGAGGTAAATGAAAACTGTTAGAAAAAGAGTTTCAAGTGTTTGGATCACGGAATTAATTTCCAACTTTCAGCCCTTCCAGAGCATAGGAACACTCACTTCTTCAAGAAAGGCCGATAGGTAGAATCATCCACGACTTCTACTTTAATCTCTTCAACGATCACGTATTCCGATTCACATATTAAACAAAGGACTATAGGCATGTCAATCCAGCGGTTTCTACTTCGCTCAAGTCCAACAGATTTGCCAGACTCGCCGATGAAAAGCGGTACAACATCCAGTCCAAATAGAATTACACTAGAACCTCTAAGAACCAACGGCCACACCATATGAACGAGCTGGGTCGGCTTTCCATATGTTACCTATTAAAATACAAGACATATAATCAATACAGGCTAAGCAAAATAGTATTGTTGCACAAGGAAAGACCTATGAGATATCATAAACTATTCAAAATTCTGCTGTTGTCTGTCATCTATGGACTCCTTGTTCAAGGCGATCTCGATAGAAATGACAGAACACTAGATGAAGGTCAGCGATGCGATCATGAAAGGGCTAACTTCAACTAAGATAGGACCAGCCATGGAAGCTGTTGACAGTATAGGCGTTCCTACTTGATAAATAAGGAGTGTTCACGAGCTATATAGCGGCTTCAACACCAGAATCTCATTATTTTACGATGATGTTAACATGTCATCTGTGCTTTGGCCACAGTATCGTTCTTATGACGAATCATGGCTAGACTAAACGAATGCTAGCTGATTTCGACAGATATTTCGAAATTACTAATCTTGGACCGAAATTAATGAAGAAGACGTTCATGAGAAACTAATTTTTTGGCGTTTCACTCAGGCCCAATTAATATTGCCTTAGAATACTAGAATTCTTTGCACAAGGTCGTACGTATCGGTCGAAAAGTCAATATGATGAACGGTCTAGCTCCAGAAATTAGAACGAGGAATCGCAGCTTCGCAAGCTCTTAAAAGCATCGATGATGTAGTGAGGATGAGGAGTGCCACATTCGACTGCGCGCCCAGCTTTTCGACTACACGATTGTTTTGCCTTAACGTATGCGTCAGAAACCTAGTCGCTATATAAGCAGGATGAAAGACCCATTTGCGTCGAACGCGCAGTTGAAAGTACACAGCGCTAAGAGTATTCCGTGTCACGCAACACAAGTAAGGGAAAGGATCAAAAACTCCGAACTACGTCAACGATCAAAAATCAAATCCGTCTACATACTACACGTATACACACGAAACCGTCGAAGAAAAGGTGACCGGACACGTAATGCGTATGAACGACAACCGATGAACAAGAAGCGTTAGTGACAGGATTTCTCGGGTTGTTTATAGCGAAGCAGAGAGGCCACCATCCCAGTCATCAGATTTCTTCACGAAGACCATGGAAGAAAGATATAATGCTCAGCAAGCTTCTATAACAGAACCTACTCGACCACTTCTGCATGCTACTAAATTCTTCTATTAGTGAAATTAACTAATATTTGATTAACATTCTGATATGTTTTAAATAATAATATTACTTCCAGAATTTATTCGGTTTAGATCATACTAACAGTTTTTCTTTTTCGATACGAAAACAAAGACCCACATCACTTGGATGAACGGCAGTGAGCCATCGACTCAGTTCATTGCAGCTCTGAAGAAGATGATGTCGAAACACTAGCCGAATAAAGAGTTTTTATAACAACCTCGTGTAAGGTTATTATTAAAGAAGGTAATCATTAAAAGCAAAAATATCCTTCATTGACAGTATTTTACAGGCGTTATTCCATTACGATCTCTCTTAGATACAGTGGTAACGCTTATTTTTATAATTAGAAAGAGTTTTATTAACTAGTACTTGAAAAAAAAGCATGAAAAGATACAGTAATAGTACCATAGTATAAGAAAGCAATTTTTATGAGAAAAGGTCATCAAATTGAATGGAAGTAAGACGAGAAAGGTAGATAAAGTTTTTGCTTTAAGGAACGAATGTCTTCTTTTCCAAAAAACCGCTTTTGTGGAGAATAAGTAAATCTAAATGAAAAAAAAAACTGAAAACGTAGGAAAAAACAACGGGAAAGTAGCAGCATAAACGAAGACTGGAGAATTTTGCAAGTAAATGAAAGCAAAGATATGCCAACACAAATAAATGACAAAAATCATAACTCTAAGAACTACGTAAAAGTATCACTTAGATATTCAAATGACAATTATTTAAATTTCGTGCAAGTCCCAGCAATTAGTCTATCTGTTTCGTTGTCTAGACAAAACGAAAGCTTTCGAGTTTGGATCTGGTTGGTTTGACTGCAACGTGAAGACCTTTTGTCCTCTGTGCTCATCGAAATGTTCAATGTTCACCGAGAGCGATTTTCTCTAGAAACCCGAGATTGTCGCGCTAGAATTTTCCTAGAGATTCTTCACTATAGACTGTACCAAGCACTGTGGACGTCAAAGAAGCTTAGGGAACCCCGCTACCTCAACCGGTGTGATTCGGGACGATCTAACATCGGGAAACCGATTAAAACTACTACAATAATTTAAACACCTGCTACGTGTAACTTTTCAACAAAGATAAAAATACCTATAGAGTACAAACCGACTAACGAGCTCCTGTTGTACTCAAAGAAACGACAGAAACTCAGTAACAAGAAGGCAAACAATCACCCCGAAAAATCAGAACGAGATCAGAAGCACAGACTGATCAAATAACTGCTGTACTTGAAGAAACTACCGATATTCAACAAAGTGAAAACAAACAATCATGCCGGAAAACCGAAATGAGACTAGTCAACGGATGTGTTGACACATCGGTTGACGTCATTAACGGAGAACACAGTTCAAAAAAATTGAAAAGTGTCTAAAAGAAACATTTAGACGAAAATTTTGAAGGATTAGGAAAATAAGAACATATTTTATTTACTGGCAAGCATTGTCAAAATAAAGGATGGAGCTTTCGGGGTTGATAAATACCTCAGGGATGCGTCATGCCATTCCATACGGTTCGCTGCATCCTTGAGGTGGTAGAATGACTTCATACTTGACCTAAGCAGTGATTTACCGCTACCTACTCGATGTATCAAGTCAGCGTTTTTTATCCTTGAAGATACTCTGGTGTCAATTCAACTCGATGACGTAAGAAGGACTAGAGGTTTGGTTAGCTTCAGATGTGATCGAACCTAAGACATCTTGGCTAATTCTTCGGAGTCATCCATTCTTCAGTGTTATTTTTCTTACTTTTAAGGAACTTAAGAGTCAGCAAGGCAACGCTACTAAGAAATGTTCTGGGAGTGAATACAAACATATCGAGTGCTAATATGTAATAATAAAATTTTAAGCTGTTAACGACTCCTAAAAAGAACACCGATCCGAGGAAACAAAAAAGGGATAAAGAGGGATGCGCCATGCATTCGACTTCATTAAGCATCGTTTGGAGGTGATTGAATGCACATCTGGCCTTTATAATGACTCGCGGTGGCCTATCGATGTATCGAGCCAGTGCTACGATTCTCCCATACAAGTTTGGTACCAATTTGCCGACCCCGGAGAGATGGAAGGCTTGGTGGGCCATGGGCGCGGCGATCGACACCTTGTCTGTGTCGCAACGCGCCTCCGACCACTGCGCCACACGCGCCCTTAAGATTCTCAATAAGCAAAAAAATATAAAAATGATATTCTTCGTATTTTTGTTGAGCAAACGCGAGGTGTTACTATTCTTTGTTCACGATTAAGCTGACGTTTCGGCGGATTTCGCCTTCTTCAGAGCCTGGAAAGGTCAAGTTGATAGCAACCTTTGTTCACGATTAAGCTGGACGTTTCGGCGGATTTCGCCTTCTTCAGAGCCTGGAAAGGTCAAGTTGATAGCAATCCACTCGGCCAGACGCCTCCATAACCAAACAAAGAAACCCCAAACCAAGATTTCAATCACTTTGAAAATGAATGATAAAAAATGATAAAAAGTGATGAAAAATCATACATAATCAGTAAACAGTAAAAAAGCGAAAGATAGCTATTTGAAAAAAGTAACGAAATGTGAAGGTAACAAAAATGAGAGCAGCATCGAGAATTCACAAGAATTCCAAATAAAGATGTGCTTTTTGTTTATTTGATAAATTTCTCTTATCATAGCGCATCATCCGTAGTTACAGACCACCATACGGTTTGTGTTGGTCTTCCGTATGAATCGCTTACTCATCGACAACACAAGGCTTATCAACTGCACACACAATTTGACAAAATGCTTCTGAAATAGTCTTTTTGAGTGTATGACTCATTACTGCTTTACTACATCAGCAATTAGTCATTAGCTGTTTTTATATTCCACTCAAAGGCTCCAGATTGGTTTTATTGTGTTGCACCAAAAACTGTTTTGACCAGTTCTATAATGGACGACCTATAAAAGTGGACGACTAGCGTTTCCCAGTTGTTGTTTCACTACTTGATGGACTTGAAGAAAGTAGCTTGGGCTTCCTTGGAAGGATCAGCTTTTCGTAATCTAGTTAAATCTAAAACCCCACAGACAAAAAACCTACCGTCCACAGACTTAAATGGCTATGGCTACAGTTTCGTGATGGTAGGTACGGTATCTATACACCGAAACCATGTCCAAGTAATGCTTGTTAAAGTGGTTCGGCTTAATTGACAACAATGCAGCTTTTCTATCAGTCCTTTGCTTTCTGCATAGGAATAGAATAAAACAAAAATTTCTTCCTGATGCAGCTCACTGTAGCATTGTAGTTGGAAACGAAGTCGATGAATTGAAACGGAAAGGGTGCATTGATGCCAGTTTCAATCCTACCTTCTCTTTACTGAGGCCATCGTAATCTTTAATAATAGTGCCCCTGAAGAAGAAAAAAACGACCAAGTAGTACGAGAAAAGGATGCGAGAAGACATCAATACAGAAATGATTTCACGTAAAAATTTATGGTACGATAAAGAACAACTAAAGGCACATGGTTCTTCGACTAATGCGAACACGTCCAACTTATTCCTACCACGCAAAAAAGAATCACACAAAATATGTAATGCAGACAAATAACACTCAGATCTGTTAAAACAGTCATCAACTAGAAAAGTCCACATATTTGATGCAACCATCCTCCTAGCGCTTTTTCAAGCAGTTGAGACTGTGGTGATTACCTCGACCACGTTGAGAACTTTATTCCTCAACCATGAAGAAGTTGCAAGGATTTTCCTAAAATCTAACCAGTGTAACACTAACACTAAGCCATTCTTCGTATTTCAAGCCTTCAAAAAATAACTAGCATCTGAAGCCTGTAAAAAAACATATAAAACGATAAAACGAGATGAACATCTGATGAGAAAT